CACCGCACGACTATAGCCTTTGCTTACTTGTTTATTTTCTATTTTTCTCGCCGCTAACATAAAGTTTATATTATAAATATATATTTATATTATGAACTCAAGCAATTCGTGATGAAAATTTTTCTCAAAAATATATATGCACCATCACGGCGGTATGTGAACAAATGGTCTGGAACCGAATGAACTATTCACAATGAATGAACTATTACCCTCCCACATTTTGATTTTGCGTTTCTCAGTTTATCGCAATTTAAAATATTGCTTGCCGAAACCCGGGATTGAACCGGGGACCTTTAGATCTTCAGTCTAACGCTCTCCCAACTGAGCTATTTCGGCCACACGCATTCGTTTGTCTCGATTCTATTTTTAACAACACTTACCGAACAAACAAGTTTTTTTTTGTTTTGTTGCTTTTGTGATAAGATTATCTATCACACGTTTGGAAAACTTTCGACGCTGTGTGTTTTATAAATAAACTAATTTATGTACAAAATAGAGAATGTACATATGTGTGCTGCATGCATATAAATATCTAACATTTGGGGCCTATCATTCAGATTTTGTGCGGTTGACTATTGTACTTGTGTCTAGTACAGTGGCAATCAAAACTACATTTTTATAATCAGTTTAAACATATATTTGGGCTGGATACAGACTAGCTCGATACATATGACTATTGGCTAGTTTACATGTAGAATATAAAACGCGTATTTGTATTTTGACTCAAATGAGTTGGAATCTCTTTAAGTAAACGCAGAAGTAAACTTGAACAAGCTCCAACAATATTGTGATCAATATTTGTGTAGCAATTAATTTATCTTAGATGACTTAGAGTTTACAATTGAAAATTGCTAAATTTCGAAGACTTTCAGAAAAATGTAGATTTTTTGATACCCTCCACCATTCCATGGAGGGTATGTTAGCTTTGTCATTCCGTTTGTAATTCCTCGAAATATTCATAATAGACCTACAATGTATATATATTCTAGATCAGCGTAAAATTCTAAGACCATCTAGCGATGTTCATCTGTCTGTTGTAATCACGCTATCTTGCGAACGAAGTTTACCAGCAGGTAGGTTAAGTTTGTAAATGGGCCATGTCGGGCCACGTTTTCGTATAGCCCCCATATAACGGTACCTCCCGATATTCGGTATTTTCATTACATTATTATCTAAACTATTTCGAATTTCGTATTTGAAGTGCGTAACAGGTGCTAAAGCCTATGACAAAATGTTTTGTATGCAGGTCCACGTCTTCGTATAGCCCCCATATAACGGTACTTCCAGATATTCGATATTTTGATGAAATCAACATCATTATTCACCGGAATCGTTTCAAATTTCGTGTTAGAATATCTTAGTGGGTACTACAACCTATGACAAAACATTTCGTGTGCGGGCCCACGTCTTCGTATTGTCCCCATATGATGGTGCCTCCCGATACTCGTATTTAAAGTTAGTGATGGATACCAAAGCCTATGACAAAAGATTTCGTATGCGGGTCCACGTCTTCGCATAGCCCCCATATAACGGTACCTCCGATATTCGGTATTTTCAATACATTATTAAATTAAACTATTTCGAATTTCGTATTTGAAGTGCGTAACAGGTGCTAAAGCCTATGACAAAATGTTTTGTATGCAGGTCCACGTCTTCGTATAGCCCCCATATAACGGTACCTCCCGACAGTCGGTATTTTTATGATTTCAGCAAAAAATTTCGTGTGCGGGTCCACGTCTTCATATAGCCCCCATATGATGGTGCCTCCCGATACTCGTATTTAAAGTTAGTGATGGATACCAAAGCCTATGACAAAAGATTTCGTATGCAGGTCCAGGTTCGTATAGTCTCTAAATAACAGTTTTCATGTAAGTGGTGGTTTTCGATTTTTTTCAAAATTTTTGAAGTTCCTTCCAAATGGTGGAGGGTATTAAAACATTAAATTTCAAAAGTTTGCATTTTTATAAAAAAATTATAATTTTTGTATATTTTTAACGGGTAGTAATCCTGCTTTTCTAATTTTTGCATTTTTACAGAAAAAATGCAATTAAATAAATATTGCAATTAGATTAGATATCAAAAATAAGTAAAAATGCTGTAAGTTCTGCGGGCCGAACTTTGAATACCCTTCACCATTTGGAACGATTTTGGCAATTTTCAAAAAATTAAAATCCTTAAAAACTCTTTTAAAATCTTAAGGATACCGAATGTAGAAGTTATGTTAGGGTCTATATTACGACGTGGACCTGCATAGGCAACGTTTTTCATGAACAATTACAAGAGTCAAATCCGAAACTTAAATAAAAAATTCGGTGAATAATGTAGCTAAAATCATCAAAATAGGGAGGTACCATTAGATGGGGGCTATACCCAAACGTGGACCTGCATAGACAATTTTCTGTCATAGGCTCCAGTACCTATTACAAACTTCAAATTCCGAATTCCGGTGAATAATTTCGCTAAAATCATAAGAATGCTCAATATCGGGAGGTATCGTTATATGGGGACTATACGACGACGTGGGCCTGCACAGACAATTTTCTGTCATAGGCTGTAGTAACTATTACAAGCTTCAAATTCCAAATTTAAAACAATTCCAGTGAATAATTTCGCTAAAATCATCAAAATACCGAATATCAGGAGGTGCCGTTATATGGGGGGCTATATGAAGGCGTGGACAGACACTTTTCTGTCTCAGGCTGTAGTATCCATAGCGAAATTCAAATTCCAAATTTGAAATAATTCCGTTGAATATTGTGCTAAAATCATCAAAACGCCGAATTTCGTTATAAAAACGTGGAACCACACAAACACTTTTCTGTCTCAGGCTATAGTATCTATTGCGAACTTCTAATACCAAATTTCAAACAATTCCGGTGAATAACGTCGCTAAAATCATCAAAATACCGAATATCATATACGAAGACGTACCGTATCATATACGAAGACGACTGTACAGACAATTTTCTGTCATAGAACGAACTTGAAATACCAAATTTGAAACATTTTCGGTGAACAATGTCACTTGAAACACCAAAATACCAAAAATAGGGAGGTACCATTATATGGGGGCTATACCAAAACGTGCTCTTACATGTCCCGGACATAATATACATTTGAGTAAAATTTTAACCAACTTCATTTCGTTCGGAAGGTAGAGTGTTTCCCACAGACGGACAGACGGACGGACATCGCTAAATCGATATATAATTTTATGCTGATCAAGAATATATATACTCTGTGGGGTCTAAAATGTATATTTCCATACTATGCTGGAGGGTACAAAAATATGCCAAGTGATAATATAATATATAATATATTACATTATATTATACATTTTCCCATTCATTATACTAATGATATTTAGATCGTCGAATCATCCTTTATTTTCAATTTCATCAATAGCATTTTTGATAGCAATTTATAAAGAAATTCAAAAGTAAAATAAATGATACTGCCGAAACCCGGGATTGAACCGGGGACCTTTAGATCTTCAGTCTAACGCTCTCCCAACTGAGCTATTTCGGCACATATTTAACATTTTAAGTAAAACATCGAACATATTTTAGACAAATTATACATTATCAGGCATGTCACAGAATCGAATCGGAATGGTTTGCACACCGTAATTCAAAATCGATCGTTATTGTGTAAGCTTCTTCAATTGTAAGCTACGAAAATTGTTCCAAGAAAAAAATTGTTCCAATTGTTCCAGAAAAAAATTATTCGTGATGGAATTCAAGCGTGATAGTGTGATTTCAGAGCACTCCAGCATTTAAATGTGAATAAATCTTTTGTGTCTCGTACCATCGCTCGTTACCGTGATACTGGTTGCGTCGCCCGACGTCAAGGAAGTGGACGGAAGAAAACAGCAGAAATGGTTCGAAAAGTTAAGAAGCGTCTTAATCGAAACCCGCGTCGCAGTGGCCGAAAAATGGCTCGAGAGCTGAACATATCGCAATATTTCATTTGGCAAATATTGAAAAATGAGCTCGGGGTAAAGCCATTGAAATTCCAAAAAGTGTGAAAACTTACACCGCAACAGAAACAAAACAAACTCAAAAGAGCTAAAGAGTTGCTTCGCTTTGCCGAAAGTGGTGAACCGCCGAATTTGGTTTTCTCCGATGAGAAAACATTCGTTGTCCAGCAGATTGTAAATAAACAAACTGATCGTGTTTACTTGCCAAAAAAGTCAGCTGAAAATGTGCCCCTTCGGTTGTCCACCATAATAGCCGATGGTCGCTCTCCGCTCGTATTAGTCAACCGTGGCATCAGAATAAATGCCGAATATAATCGCAAAATTATTCTGGAGGATGTATTAAAGCCTTGGGCATGCAAACATTTTGGCCGCAGACCTTGGACATTCCAACAGAACTCAGCGCACAATGGCCACCAAAATCTCCGGATACCAATCCGTTGGACTACTGTGTCTGGTGCATTTCGGAAAGCAAGGTTGGCACAAAATTATACCAAAGTGTCGATTACCTCAAGCAAGTGCTTCGCCGGGAATGGGCCAAAAAACCGCAGAGCAACATTCGGGCAGCGTGTGACGGTTTCATTGCTTGTTTGAAGGTCATAATTCGTGCCAAAGGTGACCAATTCGTACAAATCTTAACTTGTTCTGCAATTTGATGCCATTTTTGCTTTCCTTCAATAAAATTAAAAAAAAAATTTAAATTTTAGGGTTTGACTTTGTTGCAGTTTTCTTTATCTTACCCTGTATATGTTATATTATCGATGACAAATCAATTTTCCATGCTCTGGGTAAAAATGACCAGTAGTGTGACTTTGAAATAATTCTTCAAACTTGTGTTCCAATTCTTACATGAAAATTTACATTTGAAATTCATTTGTCACTAATATAGTTTGAAAACCATTAGTAATTACATGGGGATTGGATGTATTGAGATCTTAATTCTAAAAGCCAGATCATTCAATCTAATATTCAAGTCTTGTTAAAGTGCAGTAATTTTCTGTCCCATAAACGTATTTAAAAAATTTTGCGAAACCCGGGATTGAACCGGGGACCTTTAGATCTTCAGTCTAACGCTCTCCCAACTGAGCTATTTCGGCCGATAAAATGTATTTATGAAATAAACAAGTATAAATATAAAATAAACAATTAAAATATTTTACGGAAAAAATTATAATAAAATTTCTAAACACCCGATTTCGTAAATAATAAAATAAAATACGGTTGAAGCAAATAATAACTGTCAATATTTTTAAATTGCATTTTCATTCCTTGAAAATCTGAAATGTCTTCACACTATTTCACTAAAACAATCAACCAATAGTAAATATTAGGACAAACTTTAGTCTTCACCGAGAGGTTGGTGAGAAGAGGAAGCGGAAATCCAACAACTATAGTTTCATCCATGTGTAATGGTAGGAATTAATTATAATCATTCTTAATAGTATTATATTTTTTAAAAACTAAAGTGAGTTTCCTCCCTTTGGCGAAACTCGCGTTAAAAAATAACACGTCAATTAAAGTTTGCTGCTGGAATAGAACTAAATCTTTATTTGTGAATGAGTGCAATATACATAATTGTTTATTTTAATTCTAGATACATCGTATGATTATTTATTGGTCTTTTGATTCGATCGATTGTGTGATTTGCAAGAAGGGTGTGGCTTTTTTTTTCTAAATGACAGATGGTACGATAATTGTAATATGAATACGATAATTGTAATATGAATATATTGCCAAGTCATTGGAAAGGCATTTTGGTTTGGGTTATAACACCCCCGGACGAAGACTCTTTCCCGTGTTCCAAAGGAGCTGAGGGGAAGGGCATAATTACTTTTACTGTGCTTGATCTATATTTTACATACAGATACAATGCTATAATAAGTATAATTACAGCTGTCAAGACTATTACTGTGTAATTAGTTACTTTCTGTTCAAATTTTATTTCTGATATGAATTCGGTATTTTTAATATGATGATACTGTATTTCCTCTAAAGAATCATATGAATCATTTATCATATGTATGTCTCTGTAGGGATTTGGAATTATTAACATGTTTTGAAACATTACTTTATTGTACCATTTGTCCAATTTTACTTTGCAATTTTCTATGATCAGCATGTGATTTCCAGATAATTTTAATGGGTATTTGTTACATGTATGATTAACAATTTGATTAGTATTTATAGCAATTATAATATTTAAGCCAATTTCGACAACTTTTGGTTTAGTATTTTGTATATAATGACATTTCATGAGCTTATAATTAAACAGATTGGATATACAATCATCCTCAACTTCCCTTAGATTTGGTTTCATTAACATCATAATAAATTTTATTATCTTTTGTGATATACAATTTTTCTGCAATATTAATTTGCATTTTTTCTTTATTAGGTATTGGTTGAATATATACTTCTTGGAATATTTTAGGATTATATTGGGGTACTTTTAAGACAAATACTATATTATTTTTGTAAAGGGCTAAATTCATCTTAATTTCTTTCATTTTATCTATGGTTATATTATATATTCTAATTTCTTCATCACTCAGGATATCTCGAGTGAGAATATTTAATTTGGAAGCCAAGATTAGGTCTCTTACTTTATCTAATAATTTGCCCATATGATCAATTTGGTATTTAAGACGGTAAACTTTATCAGCTTTTGCTGTGTTATCTTTAATTGATTTAACGTTTGACATGCTCTTAATCAACAGTTTTGTTTGGTCATTATATAATTTTGTTAAGTTAGCTAATTGATTGTCAAATTGTGTATTTATGTGTATTTGATTATTAGTTTGCGTTATTATATTATGTTCATTCTTCTCCAAATTTTGCAGTTGTCTTTCAATCTCTTCTCTATCATTATTATCCATTGTACCATATAGATATTTTAATCCTGTACCAAAAAGATTAATTAAACCTCTTCTATTTCTAGCTTGATGGGGAATAATACTTTTAAGTCGTAAATGTATGTGCTCGATTTCATGCGATAAAAATGAATCATTAATATGCGAAACTTCCTCTCCCAATTCATTCAAAAAATCCATATATTTTGTGGTGTTAAATATGTGAAGAATTTTAATATAGTCATCTATTAACATTTTGTCATTAAGTTGTATCATTGCATATCCGTTGCCTTTATTCAAATCGACTACCTCGAGCTTCTGCGCTACCACTGGGGATATCATCAAGAAAATCGCCAGCAAGGACTTCCAGAGACCTGGAAAGACATTTCCTTTTAATGAACTGGTCTTTATGAAGTATTGTATTTCGGTTATCTAATTTATATTTTTTGTCATTAATTTTCCGTGTAGTCAACTGTTTTATTTTAGTCTCGGTCTTATGAGGGATTGCTGTTCTTCCAAATTTAGGATTAATATCTTCATCCTTTCTTTCTTTATTTCTGTATTTTAACATCTTTTCCCTTGCTGTTTCAATTTCATTATAAACTTTTTCCATATGAATATCTGAGTTATAAAAATGAAGGTCAATGGGTTTCTGTTTCGTAGAAAGATGTAAACTATTGTTGTATGCCTGTAATGCCTGCAAAGGTAAATCATAGTTGTATGCTACATCATTATTTTCCTCCCTAATTTTTAATATTCTAATATTCTCATTTAAACTGCTATGAAAACGTTCAATGTCCGAATTACCAGTATGTCTATGAGGTGTTGTAAAGTGATACTGAATATCATTATCTTCAAGGTGTCCCGTAAATACTGGATTAGAAAACGTCGGGTCATTATCCATAGTAATCTTTTGGGGTTTCTTCATGATGAGGAACAATTTATTTACAGCTTTTATAGCCTGTAATGGTGTTTTGTCAGATAATTCTTCCATTGCTGCATATTTTGTAAATTTGTCAATCATGGTCAAATAAAATATTTGGTTATTAAGATACCAAATATCCAAGTGGTAATGAACATAAGGTCCATGTGGTGTTTCCGTTTTCTCGAATGGTAATTTGACGGGGTTTCTTTCTATTTTGAAATTACATATAACGCAGTTATTTATAATTTTAACAATTTCCTTTTTCATATTCGGATAATAGTATTTCTTTTTTAATTCAATATATGTTTTATCTATTCCTGGATGATTGTTTTCAAATCGGTGGTGTCTATTTATGATTTCTAGGAGTTCTTCGTATCTAACATCTTGCAGAAATTTAGTTGTTAATATGATTTCAAATTGTTTTGTATTTAAAGGATTATCTTTTGTGGTTTTATATTTTTCCTGTAATTTCAATAAAATTTCCGTATCCTCACAATACAATGCTGAAAGATTATTTTCCATGGCTTCATTCAATATTCGTGATATTAATTCGTCGTCGAATGTTTCATAAGCGTATATTTTCCTATTCCTATCAAATATCCGTTCATGTGTCGTCTTATTGTCCTTGGAATTGTCAATTTTTATTTGGTTCTTGTAGTGCTGAAGAGGTTTCTCTGATATCTTAAAGAAATTATGGCCATCTTCGTCAGCACTGTGTATTGTAGAAGTAGGTGAAGGTGGTCTTTTCTTTAAATGTTCATCCAAATGTTTCCTAAGCAGATTCTTCTTACTAAACATTTTATTACATATCTCACATTTATGTTTTCTTTTAGCTGTGATTGCATTAACTTCTCTAATTCTTGAGAGAGCATCAGCTACTTTATTATCCTTTCCTTCTACATGTTTGATGTCAAATTCGTATTCATTTAACCTTATTTTCCAACGGATTAGTTTGGAATTAGGGTCCTTAAGATTTGCCAGCCATATAAGGGGTTTATGATCGGTTCTTAGTTCGAATTTCCTACCGTAAAGATATTGTCTGAATTGCTTAACTGCCCAAACAATTGCAAGTAATTCTTTTTCAACTGTGGAATAATTAATCTCATGACGGTTTAAAGTGCGTGAAGCAAACGCTATTGGTCCATTGCTTTGTGACAGGACGGCTCCTAATGCATAATTACTAGCATCGGTAGTCAGAGTAAAACTCTTTTCAAAATCCGGGTATTGAAGTACCATATCGGACATCAGAATCTGTTGTAACTTCTTAAATGCTTGTACATAGTCAGCATCTTCAGTATTAATTATTGCATCTTTTTTAAGTCTCATGGTCAAGGGTTTTGCAATTTTTGCATAACTTGGGATAAACTTTCTGTAATAACCCGTTAATCCCAGAAAACTTTGTATTTCCTTAACATCTTTTGGTATGGGGAACTCCTTAATACATCTTATTTTATTCGGGTTTGGTTTTATCCCATTATTAGTCACTACATGTCCTAAAAATTCAGTCTCTTTTTTCAAGAAGTCTGATTTATTTAAGGATACTTTTAGATTTGCAACTTCTAATGTTTTCAAAACTTTTCCCAAGTTTTCCATATGCTCCTGTAATGAAGTCGAAAATACTAAAATATCATCCATGTATACCACACATATCCTGTTTATATGCTCTCTGAGCACGTTGTTCATCATTCGCTGAAAAGTTGCCGGAGCATTCTTTAGACCGAATGGCATTCTTATAAATTCATAATGTCCATTTGTTGTAGAGAATGCTGTTTTTTCCCTATCTTTTGGATCTACCTCAATCTGATAAAATCCCTTTGTTAAGTCCAATGTTGTGAAATAGTTAGCTCGACCTAGTTTATCTAGTATGTCGTCAATTACTGGTATTGGATATCTATCATCTTCAGTGATAGCATTCAATTTTCTATAGTCTATAACAATTCTCCATTCCTTGTTTCCTACTTTATCTTCCTTCTTGGGTACTACCCAGATAGGAGAATTATATGGAGATGAACTATGCTTTATTATACCTTGTTCTAGCATTTCATTCATTTGTCGATCTACCTCTTCAGTATGTATTGCTGGATACCTATATGATTTCGTATATACAGGGCCATGATCTCCTGTTTCTATCTTGTGCTTTATCTCATTGGTAAAGGTCAGATCATCTCCCGGATGGTAAAAGGCATTTTCATATTTAGTTATTAATCTTTGGAGCTCTGATTTTTCTTCTGTATTTAGGTGGTCTGTCCTTAGCTGCTCAGTAATTCCTAGTATGTTAATATGATGGAGTTCTGGCAATGTTTGTAGTGAAAATTCGTCATCTT